CTTGCCATCAATCACCACAATGACACACAATCCACCATAGTGTTAAACCAGACTTGCCATCAATCACCACAATGACACACAATCCACCATGGTGTTAAACCAGACTTGCCATCAATCACCACTAAGAGACAATCCACCATGGTGTTAAACCAGACTTGCCATCAATCACCACTGACAGACAATCCACCATGGTGTTAAACCAGACTTGCCATCAATCACCACTGACAGACAATCCACCATAGTGTTAAACCAGACTTGCCAATCAATCACCACAATGACACAAAATCCACCATAGTGTTAAACCAGACTTGCCATCAATCACCACTGACAGATAATCCACCATAGTGTTAAACCAGACTTGCCATCAATCAACACAATGACACACAATCCACCATGGTGTTAAACCAGACTTACCATCAATCACCACTGACAGACAATCCACCATAGTGTTAAACCAGACTTGCCATCAATCACCACTGACAGACAATACACCATGGTGTTAAACCAGACTTGCCAATCAATCACCCCAATGACACACAAGCCACCATAGTGTTAAACCAGACTTGCCATCAATCACCACAATGACACACAATCCACCATAGTGTTAAACCAGACTTGCCATCAATCACCACAATGACACACAATCCACCATAGTGTTAAACCAGACTTGCCAATCAATCACCCCAATGACACACAATCCACCATAGTGTTAAACCAGACTTGCCAATCAATCACCCCGATGACACACAATCCACCATAGTGTTAAACCAGACTTGCCATCAATCACCACTGACACACAATCCACCATAGTGTTAAACCAGACTTGCCAATCAATCACCCCAATGACACACAGTCCACCATAGTGTTAAACCAGACTTGCCAATCAATCACCCCAATGACACACAATCCACCATAGTGTTAAACCAGACTTGCCATCAATCACCACAATGACACACAATCCACCATAGTGTTCAACCAGACTTGCCATCAATCACCACAATGACACACAATCAACCATAGTGTTAAACCAGACTTGCCAATCAATCACCCCAATGACACACAATCCACCATAGTGTTAAACCAGACTTGCCATCAATCACCACTGACAGACAATCCACCATAGTGTTAAACCAGACTTGCCATCAATCACCACTGACAGACAATCCACCATAGTGTTAAACCAGACTTGCCATCAATCACCACAATGACACACAATCCACCATGGTGTTAAACCAGACTTGCCATCAATCACCACAATGACACACAATCCACCATAGTGTTAAACCAGACTTGCCATCAATCACCACAATGACACACAATCCACCATAGTGTTAAACCAGACTTGCCATCAATCACCACAATGTCACACAATCCACCATAGTGTTAAACCAGACTTGCCATCAATCACCACAATGACACACAATCCACCATGGTGTTAAACCAGACTTGCCATCAATCACCCCAATGACACACAATCCACCATAGTGTTAAACCAGACTTGCCAATCAATCACCCCAATGACACACAATCCACCATAGTGTTAAACCAGACTTGCCAATCAATCACCCCAATGACACACAATCCACCATAGTGTTAAACCAGACTTGCCATCAATCACCACAATGACACACAATCCACCATAGTGTTAAACCAGACTTGCCATCAATCACCACTGACAGACAATCCACCATAGTGTTAAACCAGACTTGCCATCAATCACCACAATGACACACAATCCACCATGGTGTTAAACCAGACTTGCCATCAATCACCACTGACAGACAATCCACCATAGTGTTAAACCAGACTTGCCATCAATCACCACAATGTCACACAATCCACCATAGTGTTAAACCAGACTTGCCATCAATCACCACAATGACACACAATCCACCATGGTGTTAAACCAGACTTGCCATCAATCACCCCAATGACACACAATCCACCATAGTGTTAAACCAGACTTGCCATCAATCACCACAATGACACACAATCCACCATGGTGTTAAACCAGACTTGCCATCAATCACCACAATGTCACACAATCCACCATAGTGTTAAACCAGACTTGCCATCAATCACCACAATGACACACAATCCACCATGGTGTTAAACCAGACTTGCCATCAATCACCCCAATGACACACAATCCACCATAGTGTTAAACCAGACTTGCCAATCAATCACCCCAATGACACACAATCCACCATAGTGTTAAACCAGACTTGCCAATCAATCACCCCAATGACACACAATCCACCATAGTGTTAAACCAGACTTGCCATCAATCACCACAATGACACACAATCCACCATAGTGTTAAACCCGACTTGCCATCAATCACCACAATGACACACAATCAACCATAGTGTTAAACCAGACTTGCCAATCAATCACCCCAATGACACACAATCCACCATAGTGTTAAACCAGACTTGCCATCAATCACCACTGACAGACAATCCACCATAGTGTTAAACCAGACTTGCCATCAATCACCACAATGACACACAATCCACCATAGTGTTAAACCACACTTGCCATCAATCACCACAATGACACACAATCCACCATAGTGTTAAACCAGACTTGCCATCAATCACCACTGACAGACAATCCACCATAGTGTTAAACCAGACTTGCCATCAATCACCACAATGACACACAATCCACCATGGTGTTAAACCAGACTTGCCATCAATCACCACTGACAGACAATCCACCATAGTGTTAAACCAGACTTGCCATCAATCACCACAATGACACACAATCCACCATGGTGTTAAACCAGACTTGCCATCAATCACCACAATGTCACACAATCCACCATAGTGTTAAACCAGACTTGCCATCAATCACCACAATGACACACAATCCACCATGGTGTTAAACCAGACTTGCCATCAATCACCCCAATGACACACAATCCACCATAGTGTTAAACCAGACTTGCCAATCAATCACCCCAATGACACACAATCCACCATAGTGTTAAACCAGACTTGCCAATCAATCACCCCAATGACACACAATCCACCATAGTGTTAAACCAGACTTGCCATCAATCACCACAATGACACACAATCCACCATAGTGTTAAACCCGACTTGCCATCAATCACCACAATGACACACAATCAACCATAGTGTTAAACCAGACTTGCCAATCAATCACCCCAATGACACACAATCCACCATAGTGTTAAACCAGACTTGCCATCAATCACCACTGACAGACAATCCACCATAGTGTTAAACCAGACTTGCCATCAATCACCACAATGACACACAATCCACCATAGTGTTAAACCAGACTTGCCATCAATCACCACAATGACACACAATCCACCATGGTGTTAAACCAGACTTGCCATCAATCACCACTGACAGACAATCCACCATAGTGTTAAACCAGACTTGCCATCAATCACCACAATGACACACAATCCACCATGGTGTTAAACCAGACTTGCCATCAATCACCATAATGTCACACAATCCACCATAGTGTTAAACCAGACTTGCCATCAATCACCACAATGACACACAATCCACCATGGTGTTAAACCAGACTTGCCATCAATCACCACTGACAGACAATCCACCATAGTGTTAAACCAGACTTGCCATCAATTACCACAATGACACACAATCCACCATGGTGTTAAACCAGACTTGCCATCAATCACCACTGACAGACAATCCACCATAGTGTTAAACCAGACTTGCCATCAATCACCACAATGACACACAATCCACCATGGTGTTAAACCAGACTTGCCATCAATCACCACGACACACAATCCACCATGGTGTTAAACCAGACTTGCCATCAATCACCACAATGACACACAATCCACCATAGTGTTAAACCAGACTTGCCATCAATCACCACAATGACACACAATCCACCATGGTGTTAAACCAGACTTGCCATCAATCACCACTGACACACAATCCACCATAGTGTTAAACCAGACTTGCCATCAATCACCACAATGACACACAATCCACCATGGTGTGAAACCAGACTTGCCATCAATCACCACAATGACACACAATCCACCATGGTGTTAAACAAGACTTGCCATCAATCACCACTGACAGACAATCCACCATGGTGTTAAACCAGACTTGCCATCAATCACCACTGACAGACAATCCACCATGGTGTTAAACCAGACTTGCCAATCCATCACCCCAATGACACACAATCCACCATAGTGTTAAACCAGACTTGCCATCAATCACCACAATGACACACAATCCACCATAGTGTTAAACCCGACTTGCCATCAATCACCACAATGACACACAATCCACCATAGTGTTAAACCAGACTTGCCATCAATCACCACTGACAGACAATCCACCAATTTCACAAACTGATCACTGAGTCCTGATGGGACCATCAGTTTGATTCCATAGATTTTTATCCTGCCACTCCCACATGGGAGATATGAGATTTATTACCAGGGTGGTGGAATTGGCGTCTTTACTATTAACTCAGGTTTCAGGATATATTGCAGATGGTGATGCCTAGATATAACTATTTCTCCATGGTCTGAAGGCATTTAAGGATGGACAGATAGTTGGAACAGGCACAGATTTGTTGCTACAGAGAGCAACTGGATGATCTGTTGTGTTTTCCTAATATATTACCGAATTGAAATATACCACCCTTGTATATCAATATTTCATATAATGCAACTTTTTATGTACTTCCTGGGTTGCAATCATAAAGGGCTTATGAAATTTTGGCTGCAATAGCAACTTCTGATTTCCAGTTGAGCATATAAACTGCAAAAAAGATATAGGGATCCGATAGGAAAACACTGGGTTATCCAGTAGCTCAGCTCTGTATAGTAACAAGTTGAAGACAACACTGAGACACGGAAACTGCGGGTAGGTGTTGCCCTGTTCATCCCTAATCGTCATGGTATCACCAGAAATGTTTTCATATCATACTGGATATTCAAGATGGTATAGACAATACTCTCGGATATGATATATCTGTTTTATTGCCTGATACAAACAGTTCAAGTTGGCAATAAATCTTCAAAACATCACAAATGGACTGGATCAACAACATGAACCAACTGATCATCAGGTCCAATAACAGCTGCAATACACAACAAATACCACCTCATCAACACCATCTGAGCAGGTAAAACCTGGGGAAGTTACGACTGCCTGGCTACTGTTCTCTTAAGTTTACCATAGTGATCCTATATCTCACCATAGTGATCCCATATCTCACCATAGTGACCCCATATCTCACCACAGTGACCCCATCTCACCACAATGACCCCATATTTCACTATAGTGATCTATATCTCACCACAGTGACCCCATATCACACCATAGTGATCCCATATCTCACCATAGTGACCCTGTTTTACCTCAGTGAAACTACTCTTACCATACTAACCTTACATCATACTGACCTTACATCATACTGACCCTGTCTTACCGACCCTCTGTTACCTTAGTGAAACTATGTCTTACTAAAGTAGACTTACGTCCTACCAAAGAGACCCCACATCTTATATATCCTTATATCACTATTTATTAACTATCCCTCAATAATTCCCAAATAGACCTGCAAGTTCCTCAACTGCAAAATACCTTTTTTCATAATGTTTTTAAAGATAACGAATTGTCGCAGAAATTAATATCAAACCAAACTCAGGAGCTGCAGTCAAATAGATTGAAGTCTGTTCAATGCCATTTGCCGACGTCAAAACGGAGAGCGAGAGTTTGTGCACCTACACAGCATATCGAAGTCTGGAAAACACCACATGAGCAGTTCCAGATATTAATGCATTGTTAGCAAACTCCAGAATAATCTGAATCAGTGGGAAGAGATTCCGCGTCTGCTCCGGCTGCCTCTTGTCCGGAGGACTGTAGTTGTGATCCTGGTTCATACAGTCAGCTGAGTGCAGCTGGTTCAGACCGATCCACCGACTCAGCAAACGCTTCATCGCAGTCGGAAACAAAGAAGTGACAATAGATTCTGCTGGAGGCAGATTGTCTATACAGTTGATATGCTCTTTCTTAAAAGCATCCACACGTTTTGCAATATTTCTTTCCAAGTTATGGAACTCCTGGCCCAGCCATTCAGCTACTACACACAATGCAATGTTTTTCCTCGTGGGAATGTTGAAGGCACAGTTTCTCAGTTCCTGTTGGAGGGCCGCATCACCCAGGGAAGTCCTGTAGTAGCTGAACATCTCAAAAGGAAAACAGTTTGATGGTGATATTTCATAATGACATAGTTCCAACTTGAGAAACTCGAGGACCTGGGCTACAACAGAGAGTTCAGGATTCGATGGATGAGCGTTTCTTTGTTCAACGATGTGTTGTATGAAAGAGTCCACGGTGGTGCTGGCCACACTTCCGCCTGCAGCCCTATCACAGACTGGGGAGGAGAGCACCGGGGCCGGGAGGCTCACAAGGTGTTCCTGTTTCACAGCACTACTGTTCTCTGTTTGGTGCACACTGTCGGTCCACGAGAGGGACATGGATTCTGGCAGGTCGGGTTCACTGTAGTGTTGTAGCCACACATCCTGCAAGACAGAAAACATCCAACTTACACTCTGCATTAGCAACAACCATATTTACTCAAACTATTGTTAGTGGTGGTCCAATTAATTGCAATAATCGTAGAGTGGTCGCAGTGACTAAACAACCAAGCTCTTGAACATATTTTCTCATAATCGACCACAAACAATTTGGGAACACTTGTTTGCATCAACAATATAAATGCATTTGGTGCAATTTGAAAAAAAACTAAACCCAAAGAACTACATGTTTTATCTATATGTTTTTGTGCATTAACAAAGATACCAGGTACATCTGAAACACATCCAACTTTCACTCTGCATTATCCATTATCAGGGCTATAGAACCCGCTATTGACTCACACTATTCTAGACTGGTACTGATGTTATTCTTTGGGTATTCAACATTCTTCCTCCCTTGGGTTCAATCTACTGGATATTCATAAATCCTGGATTATCGATTGGACCCTTTTTCAAAACATGTCTCCATCAAATGCTGTTGTATCATGTTCATGTGACTTCCAACTAGAACATGCTTATGTGCTGCTGTATAGCTGACAATAGGGACAGATACTGTTAAAGTTACAGGAGGATGTAGAGGTTTTGTGATTTATTGCAGTGAGCCTTGTGTAACTGTGATGAATGCATTCGATAGGTAAATAAGAATGTATGAGGCAGTACTGACTGACTGAGTTTGGTTTTACGCCGCTTTTAGCAATATTCCAGCAACATCACGGCGGGGGACACCAGAAATGGGCTTCACACATTGTGCCCATGTGGGGATTCGAACCTGGGTCTTCGGCATGACGAGCCAATGCTTTAACCATTAGGCTACCCCACCGAGGACAAACTGTTGTTCTACTACTGGATGTGTTTAACATGCTCATTCACTATCACAGCCTCAGTAGGTAGTAACATCTTCACCTCATGTATTACAGTTTACACTAATATTTACTTGTCATGTTGCTTCTGTTTTCTTAAAATATCACAAAATGAGTTGGTTATCATGGTTATTGTCTCAAAATTCTTTACTGGGAAGTTTGCACAAAATCTGACTTTTCTATCAGACGAGGGTTCCGACATATAACCACACACCTGATGTTCATAAGTGTATTTCCATAGGCGGTTGGTTCCAAAACCTCTTTCAAAACTAAACTTGTCTTTAAATGTCAGCTGATTATCACATTTGAATATTGTCAGTTACAAACGAGATCAAATAAAAAATTACCCTACGTAATCCACTGGCGCATTCTAGACAATGGTTCATAACTGATGTCACATGATGTTTCAGTACATGTTCCTACCCTTAACTTGAGCAAACAGTCTCTCTGCACAAACAGCTCGTGGTACTCAAACACGGCTCTGAACACTCCCTGGATGTTGTAAAACCATACACTGCCACTGTTGGACGTGCCATTCAGACGAGAGTCTGAAATTAGGAAGTATGGGGTGTCAATATTCAACATTAATTTGGGATAAAATTTGTCCTTTGTAACCAATTTAACCTAGCTAGGCTTGTCCAGTTGTCCCATGGACAAATTTAAGTAATGTAACAGTTCTTGTAAGTAATATATCTCTTAGAGACTCATTCATTTCACATTCAAGTTAACTTACTTATTACATGTCAAAACTTATGAAAATGAGTTGTATTCAAGGTAAGAGTAATGCTTCTGTATTGCTCTTATTATACCAGATAGAGAGGTAAGAATTCAAGGAACTGTCTACCTGAGAATAGCAGCTTTGTTGCCAAACCCTCCTTTCCAAAGCGATTGTGTATCCTACAATTATTTTTGTTGACTTGGCTGATCCCCGCCTAGCACATCAGCAGCCATGAACAAAGGGATGCCAAATGTCTGAAACAGAATAAACAGAATCTTGTCAAGGTGTGAGTTTATTGTCATTGTCAGTAAAAGTACCATACATTGATAATGTTGTTGTTTTTCATTCTGATTGGTAATCCTATTATACATGTATATGATAATGAGAATATTTATTACGCACCTTTTTCCAGGCTAGATATCCTGCTCAAAGGGCACAATGTGATCATTATTACCCCGAATAACCCAAGCTGCCTGTTCGGCACTAGAAGGTTATAGTCACATGACTTTATCCAACCAAGTACCCATTTTCTGCTGGGTGAACAGAGGCAATTTTGAACTCACTTGCCTAAGGTGAGACCACATGTATCACATATGCTTCGTTGTGGGGCAGGACTGAAGCCCTAGAAACTCTCAGGAGTCAAGCTGTCACACACGGTTACCCTTCCAAGGACTCTCCAAGCCCAACGTTTCTTAACTTCAACTGATTAGTGACCTGAGCTCTATGCATAGGACCACACTCAACCATTCATATCATCCATCAGAGCACTCATTGATAATACAATTTGATTGTAATCAGTTGAGTTCTCATAAGGTGAGAGTGACTGTTGTTTAATGTCATAATCAGCAATATTCCAGCAATATCACAGCAACCTTAAAACTTGATAAGTTTGGATCTGACAAACCAGAGACTGACAGTCACACCAACTGACCACCAAATTATTCTCATCATGACGTAATTACATCATATTATTGTGAGTGAGTGAGTTTAGTTTTACGCCGCACTCAGCAATATTCCAGCCATATGGCGGCGGTCTGAAAATAAATGAGTCTGGACCAGACAATCCAATGATCAACAGCATGAGCATTGAGTTGCGCAATTGGGAACCGATGACACGTGTCAACCAAGCCAGCGAGCCTGACCACCTGATCCCATTAGTCGCCTCTTACGACAAGCATGGGTTACTGAAGTCTCGTTTTAACCCGGACCTTCACGGGTGACATCATATTAACAGTGACATGATGAGGATGGGAGTGGGGTAACATCGTTGTAACAGTATTTCAGGTATATAACAATGTGGGAGAAGCCTGACGTCATGCTGGTCCTCGACATCGTTGTAACAGTATTTCAGGTGTATATCAATGTGGGAGAAGCCTGACGTCATGCTGGTCCTCGACATCGTTGTAACAGTATTTCAGGTGTATAACAATGTGGGAGAAGCCTGACGTCATGCTGGTCCTCGACATCGTTGTAACAGTATTTCAGGTGTATATCAATGTGGGAGAAGCCTGACGTCATGCTGGTCCTCGACATCGTTGTAACAGTATTTCAGGTGTATATCAATGTGGGAGAAGCCTGACGTCATGCTGGTCCTCGACATCGTTGTAACAGTATTTCAGGTGTATATCAATGTGGGAGAAGCCTGACGTCATGCTGGTCCTCGACATCGTTGTAACAGTATTTCAGGTGTATATCAATGTGGGAGAAGCCTGGCGTCATGCTGGTCCCCGACATCGTTGTAACAGTATTTCAGGTGTATATCAATGTGGGAGAAGCCTGACGTCATGCTGGTCCTCGACATCGTTGTAACAGTATTTCAGGTGTATATCAATTTTGGAGAAGCCTGACGTCATGCTGGTCCTCGACATCGTTGTAACAGTATTTCAGGTGTATATCAATGTGGGAGAAGCCTGACGTCATGCTGGTCCTCGACATCGTTGTAACAGTATTTCAGGTGTATAACAATGTGGGAGAAGCCTGACGTCATGCTGGTCCTCGACATCGTTGTAACAGTATTTCAGGTGTATATCAATGTGGGAGAAGCCTGACGTCATGCTGGTCCTCGACATCGTTGTAACAGTATTTCAGGTGTATATCAATGTGGGAGAAGCCTGACGTCATGCTGGTCCTCGACATCGTTGTAACAGTATTTCAGGTGTATATCAATTTTGGAGAAGCCTGACGTCATGCTGGTCCTAGACATCGTTGTAACAGTATTTCAGGTGTATATCAATGTGGGAGAAGCCTGACGTCATGCTGGTTCTAGACATCATTGTAACAGTATTTCAGGTATATAACAATGTGGGAGAAGCCTGACGTGATGCTGGTTCTAGACATCATTGTAACAGTATTTCAGGTGTATAACAATGTGGGAGAAGCCTGACGTCATGCTGGTTCTAGACATCATTGTAACAGTATTTCAGGTGTATATCAATGTGGGAGAAGCCTGACGTCATGCTGGTTCTAGACATCATTGTAACAGTATTTCAGGTGTATATCAATGTGGGAGAAGCCTGACGTCATGCTGGTCCTCGACATCGTTGTAACAGTATTTCAGGTGTATATCAATTTCGGAGAAGCCTGACGTCATGCTGGTCCTAGACATCGTTGTAACAGTATTTCAGGTGTATATCAATGTGGGAGAAGCCTGACGTCATGCTGGTTCTAGACATCATTGTAACAGTATTTCAGGTATATAACAATGTGGGAGAAGCCTGACGTCATGCTGGTTCTAGACATCGTTGTAACAGTATTTCAGGTATATAACAATGTGGGAGAAGCCTGACGTGATGCTGGTTCTAGACATTTGCCACTTTGGTGGTGAAACCCATAGTCACAGCTGCATATATGGAGCTGACTAACCTAGAAACAAAATAGTCACTGGCCATAGGGTTAATACACAAACCAGTAGAGCAGTACAGTGTGATTGTCAGTGTAGCAACACTACTTCTGTTTACCTGATAAATTGAGTTATATCACATCAAAATGGCATATCATGATTTGAAAGCACAAACCAGGAACCATCAACTGGCCCACAGCTGAGATCTGCTCTTTAAAGGTTTGGAATAAATTTGGTGTGAGTTTGTTTGTTTTTCTAATAATATGGGCTAATCTGGGGCATGAACCAACATTCACTCTCTCCTGCCACAGGTAAGGGCTCTGCAAAACCTTTGTCTGCTGGGTAAGCACTGGCCACTTTAAAATCAGAGAAATCATACAGTACGGTTTTCAAAGACAATCATAACCATTTAAAAAAATTTGGGGGAGCACTCTGGTTGAATTTTATCTTGTACTTTTTCTTATCACAAAGAGATGTAGAAGCAATGGCAAAAGCGCTACAACTTTAACAGTTTAGACAAGGCAATTTGGGTTGTAGTCAAAAGGGCTGAAGGACAAAAGGGCCGGAAAAAAACTCAAAAGTCAAATGGGCCGAAATGAAAAGTCAAAAAGGCCGAAAAATAAACAGTTAAATGGAATTTGGACATGAGACTCAAATGTTTTCATTGTGAAGAGTTTTGACTCAGTGTTATGACTAATCCGTATGGAATGTTTGTTTTTGTTGTTGTTGTAAGATTTTAATCCAAATCTAATTAAAACATGGGAGTATATCGTTTTTATTGTAAAGTAGATGATGAGGGCATCGTTACAGAAGCTGGTTGATCTCTGTGACTACATGGAGCGACAGGGATGGGTCACTCGATATTCAGAGTGGTCAGTTGGTTAGTTATTTACTTTATTTAGTGTCGCACGCACAATTAAATTATTTCGGCGACGGAGTAGTACGATTATTAAGAAATGAAGGGGAACAATAAATAGAAATTTTGAAAGAATGGTGTTACTACCCAAAAAAAATAGAAACGGAGTATTAAGGGAAATTTAAACGGAAGGCCGAATTAAAAAAGTAAAGAAAAATATGAAATAATCTAAGAGTAATAGAGATTTTGAATTTAATATAGATGTGGTAATATAAATGGCTATTGTTATTGAACGAATTAACTAGTGTAAATTACCATTATATTATTTTTGTTAATTATGTGAACTTGTGTTAAGTAAATTATTAACTATATGTATTGCCATTACATGAAAACTTGTAATGCTTGGCTATTACCATGCCATTACCATTTTATTAATGTTATGATGATATTATGTTTCAATGCTATATATGTGTCAATAAATAATGTAAAACCTTTCTAAACTTATTTTCTGTTCGGCCCATATGACTAGGAATAAGGCCCTTTTGACTTTTTGTTACGGCCCTTTTGTCCTTCGGTCCATTTGACTAGTTCCCGCAATTTGGCCAAAACACAAGATGTTTATAAAAGATGTTTTGTACAAACAGACATGGGGTTGGGGTGGCATTTGATACGATAGGGAGTTTGAAGGGGGAAAGTAGTCTTATGCTAAATGCGTGAAAGCTCACATGTATGGTTTATCACTGACGTGACACTGAACCTCATCTGAACTATTATGAAATTATTCAAAGGCATTTAGAAGTTGGTGTAGTAATACAAGTCAAATCTTATGGATAACAACTTCTTGGTGTATTTTTCACAACGTTTCTGGGCTAGTTCTTGCTCCTTCTTCAGGTGAATAATGGTGATAGTGAACATTACAATATATATATATGTACAGGAAGCCAGATATGTAAATGTAGTATATACACGGGAAGGAGGAGGTATAATTAAGTATGTACAAACAATGCAGTGAACTATGACGACTGACTGTATGAACCTGTTCATGTTGAATTTCTTACGGTGTTGAACACAGACATTACCGAATTTAACGTTTCGTTCACTGAATATCCTCTGCTTAATCTCGACACTAGTATATATCGTACTGTACGTCCTCCTAAAACCATGTGAGGCAGTTTGACAGACGGGAATGGTCTGCAGGCTGCAGAGTCCTCCCTGTGATCCGCCATCATTTCTCGTATTGTCACTGATTTACCCCGTGTCATGCACGCACACAAATATAAATGCAAATAAAATTTTGAAGTCGTTGAAAAGAAAGCAGAGTACTTTCTGAAAATTTATTACATAACCTTGCTATTCAATTTAACTGCTTAAAATTGTTATCATTATTTCCCCCAATCAACACTCTCCTTGAATTTCCTGGGGAGTTAGTTTAGTCCAACTTCCGGTAAATTCTAAAATGGCCGACTTGTTCGGCGACTCCGAGCTATTTGCTGAATTTGACAAAGAGAGGGACACTCAGAATTCTTTCATTCATTCTGTAGAACAGAATGGCAAAGGAAGAATTGTGTTTGCATTAGAGGAAGAATCATGTTCCTCAGACAATGAAAGTGACGAAGGGGATACTCAAAAACTCTCAGAGGAAGAAAGCAAAACTGAAAGTCAAAGAAGTGACGAAGTATCGGAAGGGACATCACTTTCAGCGAAAGATATCTTGAGTCGGTGTGCAGATGAAGGAGAAAGTGTTTCACATAATGACCATTCATCGGAAACATCTTTTAAAATACAACATGAACGTATCCTACATTTGAAAAAAAAGACTCAACATCTCATGGCAAGACTTTAACTACGTAAATAAAATGATAGGCCAAATAACAACATAGAGTGGATGATATCATACTATAGAGTAATGATGACGAGTCATGCAAACGTTTATCATTTAATCTTTGGTAGATTGATGTATGATATGCACTATGCAGTATTAATATGCACCAGAAACAAAGCAGTGATACCTTTTACAACAAAGTTAGACTGAAAATAATCGGTTTTACCTACCTCAGCTATCTAAGGTGGTAGCATACAGGCCCTAGGGGTCCATTCCACCAAGTGATCACTGCACTAAGGTATTCATCATGATCATAACTTCCATACTTTAACATGCACAAGCAAGAGTGTTAGTGCAATGATCACTTTGTGGAACTGGTGTTTTTCAACATGTTCAAGCTTCACAAATCATCCATGCTTCTGAGGATTGTATGTGAGAAGGTTAGGGAAGTTACCCCAAACACAACCCTAAGCCCTCTGATCACCTTTCCAATATTATATTATAAATTATGACTTGTATTATTGACTAAATGGAAATATTTTGTTAAGCCTTAACTATATCAGGGGACAAATATCACAGATATGCAAAGATTATTGATTCCACAAGGTAAGTTAAGACTGTTGTGGTTTGAAAGTTTGATATGTTTGAATGTTCACATTTTTGTATAGCTACATTCATTTACATATGCTATGTGAAAATTCTAAAAACTCCTATTTTAAAAACTCAAATGCCAAAGAGTATGATAAATGTTTAACTACATCACCTGATCTTTGTGTCTGAGGATTAGGTTTTGTATTAGTAGTAACAAGTACATTAATGAAAAGTTACTATTCTACTTGAGTGCACCATGTAAAGGTCCATTGACTTTACTGTTAATAATGCTTCACTGACCATTGACTTGACAACATTTTGGAAGAGTATGTGCAATGTCTCTGTTATAGGTCAGTTCCAGATGAAGACAGCCCTGCAGTACAGGTCCTCTTCCATAATAATTCCTTTTCCAGGTTAGTGCTAATGCTAAATAGCATTCTGTTGGCATTTCTTCAGTCATTTAGGTATGTTTTAAGGCTGCCAGGTCGTCATAAGAAAGCCAAAGGGTCTATCATGTCTATCGAGCGAGCATGTTAACATGAAATTTTATGGACAAGATTGTTAACAAATGTAGGGCTTTAGACAAATATGGCGGTACTGTTATGGACAGATGTATTTTCCAAATACGTTTTTTCTGTTTTCACATCTGAAAGAAATTTTCATCATGTTTTAAATTTACATGGCAATAAATAATTTAAATATTGATGAAAATGTATAGCTTCAGTGTTTACGTTTGCTCAAAGGCTTTTCCTATTACATTAGTGTTGACAAAACGACATACCTTGTACTTGAAATGTTATTAATGCCCATTCAGGAAATACCGGCCACAGATAGAGCAGTTCCTGGCTGGTTTGGTGGAGCAGGAAATGTACAACTCTCGCCATGGAGACAGGATGCCAGAACTACCACTTCAGGTATTACTTGGACATGATGTGGACATGTGAATTTTGTGATACAGTGGATGTACAACACGTAGAAACAGGTGTTCTCACAAGTGGCAATACACATCGTGATACTTATTTTGGTGTACAGATTTTTAAAAATTTAGGACCAAATGTAGTTTATTTTCTTCCTTTTGCAATTGATCTTAATTCATTCTGTTCCGAAAGTGTAGGTGGTATGTTTGCAATGATGACCTTTCATTTGGTTCTGCTCTTCTACATTTGAGACCATGAGTACTATGTTCGTCATACTGGTCAATAGGTTTCTTTTTTTAACGCTTTTTTCAATAAAATTAATCTCTCCTTGAGCCAAATAAAATGTATGCAACAATTCTTTCATTCAACATATATTATAGATTTTAGCCATATGTTGACTCCGATGCTCTTTGTTCAACAGTCAAGCGTTCCTACCTGTGTTGATCTCAACCCCAAACTTCCAGTAGAACTCCGAACCAACTCCATGTGGATGGCCCATGCGGTAAGCATCTTGACACTTGTTGATATCATGTACTGTTAATTATAGCTCATTACTCCAGATAGTACAGTGCAAAGTAATTCAAGGATAACAGATTTAACAGATTTACGATTTAAATTGTGGGAGAGCATTACCTCTACAAGTACATCCGTAACCATGCCAACAAGATTGCATGGGACTGGGGGGTGGGGTTTCCAGACAATCAACATCTGGCATTAATAAGATTGCCTAGGAGATGGAGTTTCCAAATTTTCAGGGTCTTTACTATTATGATTGTCTGGAAAGTGGGGTTCCGAATTAGCACGTAGCAAAAACATACAGTAACATAAAGTTACTATTGCACTTGAATGCTCCATCTAAAGGGCTGATGCTGGAGGACTGCACTGGTGTTGACCCATCCCAAGTATGGTGGCCAGCTGACTTTTAGCAGTGCCATTTATCATGACCGATTTAGGGGATTCCCCTGAATAGACCTGCACTCAAATAGGCTAATATCTTCATGAAGCCCATTTCTGGTATAACCCACTGTGGCATAGCTGGAGTTTTCAGATGTGAGAAGTTTCTGATTTCCGGGATTTTTGTTTCATTTTGAATGTTTTTGAGATCGATGTAAATCTGCAATAAAAGACATCCAAGACCCCTTGCTAAATTTTCAGTGTTTTTTGTGCTTTGCTGTTCACATGTCTGAGTTTTGCTATAAGAGTAATGAGAGTAAGACCATACTCACTTTCACAATAAGTCATAAATTCCTGCGTCACTGACAAGTTTATGGTGTAATTTCTTTGTTCTGCAGATCATTGGCAATGCTCAGTTTCACCATCTATTCCTGGTGGACACACGTGGATGGCCGTTGGTCAACCTCAACCCCAGTCTGACCGATGGGTGGGAAGTGCCTCGGTATCCTTACACTAAGTTACAGCTCTTGAACCAAACTTGTTAACACGTCATTGGCATGATTGCACTCATGCATCATTCTCAGAAATTCATAAATGAAGTACTGATATGATATATTTACATACCCATGAAGATCAGCAATGCATGCTTGTCGTAAGAGACGACTAACAGGAACAGGTGTGAGGCTCATTGACTTGGTTGACACATGTCTTTGTATTCCAGAAGCTGTGTCAATCTCGGGATTGTTCCGTGTATACGCGATTCTTTACGGACTGAAACACCATCATATAGCTGAGTGTGTTTAACGACAATCAAACAATTCATTAGGGAAGTTTGTTAGATATGAAATTTATATGTGGAACATGTCTCATTGACTCATAAGTAAACATGTTTTTACAGTGTTGCATTTTTACCAACTACGGAAAGTCATTTTATATTTTGTTGTCAGTTTGGGTGATTATACTTTTGCTAAACATTTGCACCTCATTGTTTCACTGTGTCTTTTGTAAATATGTTCTGAACTGAAGCATTTTGACTTAAGGTTTAATGGCTGGGGTTCAAACAAATGGTGTGTGGTCACGCTGCCAGAGGAGGGGCGTTTCCATAGCAGCAAGTCTGGTAATGGAGCAGAAGTTTCATTTAGTGTTTCATATTTTACTGTTAGACACAGGCAGGCAGTGAAGATGACCCCCTTTCCCACTCTCCTGACTCCCTGCTGTGCAGGGTTAGGGTTGTACATTTATTTGATGCTGATGTCAAGAGGCTGAAGATTATACTTTCAGTAGGTTCTATTTTAAATGATATGACCTTAACCTTAGTTAGGTATGAGCAGTTGTTCGAGGAGCCCCTGCCTGTGGAAGAAGATGGGGACAAGCCACAGGGGAAGAAAGCAGGACGGTGAGACGCCCAACACTCACTCCACCCTCCCTCCCAACACTCACTCCACCCTCCCAACACTCACCCCACCCTCCCTCCCAACCTCACTCCACCCTCCTCCCAACACTCCTCCACCCCTCCTCCCAACACTCACTCCACCCTCCCAACACTCTCACTTCACCCTCCCTCCCAACACTCACTCCCACCCTCCTCCCAACACTCACTCCACCCTCCCAACACTCACACCACCTTCCCTCCCAACACTCACTTCACCCTCCCTCCCAACACTCACTCCACCCTCCCAACACTCACTCCACCCTCCCAACACTCACTCCACTCTCCCTCGAAAACTCTCACTCCACCCTCCCAACACTCACCCCACCCTCCCAAACACTCACTCCACCCTCCCTCCCAACACTCACTCCACCCTCCCTCCCAACACTCACACCACCCTCCCAACACTCACTCCAACCTCCCAACACTCACTCCACCCTCCCAACACTCACTCCACCCTCCCTCCCAACACTCACACCACCCTCCCAACACTCCACCCACCTCCCAACACTCACTCCCACCCTCCCAACACTCACTCCAACCCTCCCAACACTCACACCGTCCTCCCTCCCAACACTCACTCCACCCTCCTCCCAACACTCACCCCTCCCTCCCTCCAAACACTCTCACTCCACCCTCCCAACACTCACCCCACCCTCCCTCACCTCCCGACTCTCCTCACCCCACCCTCCTCCCAACTTCACACCACCCTCCCTCCCAACACTCACCCCACCCTCCCTCCCAACACTCACCCCACCATCCCAACACTCACTCCACCCTCCCCTTCCAACACACTCAATCCACCCTCCTCCCAACACTCACTCCACCCTCCCTTCCAACACTCACACACTGCCTCCCTCCCAACACTAACACCACCCTCCCAACACTAACCCAACCCTCCCTCCCTTCCAACACTCACACCACCCTCACCAACACTCACCTCAACCTCCCAACACTCACCCCCACTCTCCCAGCACTCACTCAACACCCCCAGCACTCACCCCACCCAGCACTCACTCCACCCACCCTCCAACCTCCACCCTCCAAACACTCACTCCATCCACCCTCCCAACACTACACCCTCCCAACACTCACTCCACCCACCCTCCCAACCTCCACCCTCCCAACACTCACTCCATCCACCCTCCCAACACTACACCCTCCCAACACTCCCACACCACCCACCCCTCCCAACACTCCACCCTCCCAACACTCACACCACCCTCCCACACACTCACACCACCCTCCTCCCAACACTCCACCCCCTCCCAACACCTCACTCCATCCACCCTCCCAACACTACTCCATCCACCCTCCCAACACTCACACCTGCCCTCCCTCCCAACACTCCACCCTCCCAACACTCACTCCACCCACCCTCCCAACACTCCACACACCACTCTCACACCACCCTCCCTCCCAACACTCCACCCTCCCAACACTCACTCCACCCACCCTCCCAACACACCACCCTCTCAACACTCTCACCACCCCTCCTCCTTCACCCTCCCTCCCAACCCACCCTCCCAACACTCACACCACCCTCTCAACACTCACACCACCCTCCCAACACTCCACCACCCTCCAACACTCCACCCTCCCAACACTCCAACCTCCCTCCCAACACTCACACCACCCTCTCAACACTCATACCACCCTCCCTCCCAACACTCCACCCTCCCAACACTCACTCCACCCACCCTCCCAACACTCCACCTTCTCAACACTCACTCCACCCTCCCTCCCAACACTCACCTAACCCTCCCAACACTCACTACACCCTCTCAACACTCACCCCACCCTCCCAACACTCACCCCACCGCCCCGCCCACCCCACCCTCCCAGCATTCACTCAACACCCCCAGCACTCACACAACCCTCCCAACGCCACCCCACCCTCCCAACACTCACCCCCACCCTTCCAATACTCACCCCACCCTCCCAGCACTCACCCAACCCTCCCAGCACTCACCCCCACCCTTCCAATCCTCACCCCACCCTCCCAGCACTCACTCCACCTTCTCAACAGAGCATCTTCCCATCTGTACCCTCTCCCCTCTTTCCATCCCATTGACTCTCTCCACATCTCTAGCCTTCACAACGCCAAACACATGCTCTCTCATGACCCTCTCAAGACCCGCTCACCCGTCCCCTTCCCTTCACCTTCTCCACACATCCAAGACACGTCTTCTAACCACTCAAATGCCACACTTCAGGCTGCAGTTATACACATGTGATTGTAGTGTCTGGCATTGGCTCACTGCTGTCCCCAGCCATGAGAAGGCTGGGTGATCAGTCTGTTTCTTATGGAAACTTAGGTTTGAATGAAACCCTGTAACTGTATTTTGTGTTCTTGATCCCCAATAGTATTATTATAGGATATTTATATAGCACACGTATCCACGCAACTAGTGCATGCTGAAGGCGCTGTTATTTTCCCCTCTATCATTGGATGTCAATCTCAACGGCACATCGTATTATCAATCTCAACTCCCTGGGGAGTATACAACTCTTGCTGCCACTGGGCGCACCGAGTTATTGTGGCTTTCTCATCCTAACGAGGTACCCATTTGCAGCTGGGTGGACTGGGACACATAGTCACAGTACTTTGTCCAAGTTTACTGCACGTTGCTGTACCCGCAACTAGGTGTTTGCACGTATTCATGTGGCCACCATCTGGTCATATACCAACGGATTTGTGGGTTCTTTTAAGTGCACAGGGTTGTGTACTGTACACTAGGGGTTGTGACAACACTGAAAGAGTCTGCACACAAAGTTGACTCCAAGGTTGTTAAACCCCGGTCACAGGTGGGCTCGATCCCGACACCTCAACCTCGTTGGGTCACAAGCCTGGCGCCTCAGCCAGCTCGCCCACCGCGAGGATGTACAGGATGTTGCTTGTTTTAAACCGTTGATTTGTCTGGCCATAATATGGTGGAAATATTGATGAGTCATCAAATCATCATTAGGAACATCACTTAATGTTTTTGTGTTTTTTTGTAGCCCCAAACCGAGCTGTTTCAACTGTGGTGGGGAACACATGATGTCTGAATGTCAGGCGCCCAAAGACTACAACAGAATTAAAGCCAAACGGAGAGAATTCATGGACAAGAACTCCCCCCTCTATGGGTCCCAAGAAAATGAGGTATGTATGTTTGTTATAATATAATGACTTCATAATAGTATAAGAAATAGCTCTTCTATGGACAATTTTGTTAGAATTAAGTACTGATAAAAATGTAATATTAAATTTGGTAAGGTTTTTATATAAAGTCTTTAGGATGAAAAATACAACAAATTCTAATTAGATCTTCAGTATTTATGCTGAAATATTATTTGATAGGTTAGTGTAGCATCTCTATTGTTATTTTACGAGAGCACCTTTGTTTCGGCTGGTGACAAGATACCTGTAAAAAGACCAGCATGAATACACTTATGAAAATTGCTTTGTCATATGGGCCATGGCCTTGAATACTTGAAATAAATTGTCTGTCTGTCTGTCTGTCTGTTATAATAAAAAGACGTTTTTCCTTTATTTTTTGGGCGATGGGGTAACCTAGTGGTTAAAGCGTTTGCTTGTCACGCTGAAGGCCCGGGTTCGACTCCCCACAATGTGTGAAGCCCATTTGTGGTGTCACCCGTTGTGATATTGCTGAAATATTGCTTAAAGCGGCATAAAACTAAACTCACTCACTTACTCACTCCTTTATTTTTATATACGAAATTATTGCAGTTATTGCATGTGTTAGTTTATTCTTCTTGTTGAAGTAAAGGATTGATTTGTCATCTCATTATCCTGACAATGTAGAGTGTTTGGTGAAGAGTGTACGTTTTCGTAACCTCCGTGGTTTAGTGGACAGTAAGACTTTCTTGCTCCAAGCAATTGTTTATTTATGTTTGGTCAAATTTCAGTTTGTCATCGAACAAGGTTGTCCAAGATCGATTCTCCCAGTTCAAGCCAGGTGTGCTTAGGTAGGAACAGCACTTTAATAGTATCAGTTAAATATTAACAGCTATAATTTCCGTGTGAGACTTCCAGTACGCAGTATTTATCATCTACACCGAAATGTCCCTCTCTATGTAATAACAAAGTTGTTCATCCAAGTATCGTTGTCCTTCCTTGTCCCAGCTACTAAATGTCTCTCAAATAAGTCAAATAATATTTGTCCATATCTTCATTTGTGTTCATTATTACCATGTCCATGTGTGTTCCAGCAAAGAGCTCCGTGAGGCTATGGGCCTCGGTCCGCGCCAGCTACCGCTCCACATCTACCGTATGAGGATGCTAGGATATCCCCCAGGTTGGCTCAAGGAGGCCGAGGTTGATACCTCCGGCCTCATTATGTTCGACAAAGATGGACGAGGTAAGTACTTCAATGTCCTTGTCTCTTTTTGAGATCGTGGATTTGTCCCCAGAACCTTAACAATGGTGTATTGCCTCTTTGTGTTGCTTCCGCCAAATTGGCTACCCTTGTAGATCCGTGTTAGAACTGGTTTTCAGCAACCCAAATTGGCTACCCGTGAAGGTCCATGTTAGAACTGGTCTTCAGCAGCCCAAATTGGCTACCCGTGAAGATCCGTGTTAGAACTGATCTTCAGCAACCCAAATTGGCTACCCGTGAAGGTCCGTGTTAGAACTGGTCTTCAGCAACCCAAATTGGCTTCCCGTGAAGATCCCTGTTAGAACTGGTCTTCAGCAACCCAAATTGGCTACCCGTGAAGATCCGTGTTAGAACTGATCTTCAGCAACCCAAATTGGCTACCCGTGAAGATCCGCGTTAGAACTGGTCTTCAGCAACTCAGATTGGCTACCCGTGAAGATCCGTGTTAGAACTGATCTTCAGCAACCCAAATTGGCTACCCGTGAAGATCCGCGTTAGAACTGGTCTTCAGCAACCCAGATTGGCTACCCGTGAAGATCCGTGTTAGAACTGGTCTTCAGCAACCCAGATTGGCTACCCGTGAAGATCCGCGTTAGAACTAGTCTTCAGCAACCCAAATTGGCTTCCCGTGAAGATCCGTGTTAGAACTGGTCTTCAGCAACTCAAATTGGCTACCCGTGAAGATCCCTGTTAGAACTGGTCTTCAGCAACCCAGATTGGCTACCCGTGAAGATCCGCGTTAGAACTGGTCTTCAGCAACCCAAATTGGCTTCCCGTGAAGATCCCTGTTAGAACGTGTCGTCAGCAACCCAAAGTAAGAGGCGACTAACGGGATCAGGTGGCCAGACTCGCTGAGTTGCTTGACACATGTCATTGTAGATCGATGCTCATACTGTTGATCACTGGATTGTCTGGTCCAGACTTGATTATGTACAGACTGCCACCTTGTAGCTGAAAGATAGCTGAGTGCAATAACCAAACCAAACCCGCCATCTTGGCCATTAGAATAATGAAAGTGGTGGCCATAATGCAACATCACCAACTTTGTTTAGTTTTTCAACATGTTTGCCAAACCTTGCTGATGTAGGATTTGTTGTGTAGAGGTGAACCTGCGCGGCGAGACACTGGAGGACGGGGAGGTCGACCAGGATGAGGATGAGGAGACTCCTGAAGGTGAGCAGTAATGGGGAGACTGATGACCCTGATGGCTGGGCTAAAGGCATCCCTGATTTATGTGAGGACAGGTCAAAGGCACCCCTGATTTATGTGAGGACAGGGCAAAGGCACCCCAGATTTATGTGAGGACAGGGCAAAGGCACCCCAGATTTATGTGAGGATGGGGCCAAAGGCATCCCTGATTTATGTGAGGACAGGGCAAAGGCACCCCTAATTTATGTGAGGACGGAGCCAAAGGTATCCCAGATTTATGTGAGGATGGGGCCAAAGGCATCCCGTGATTTATGTGAGGATGGGGCAAAGGCAACCCAGATTTAAGTGAGGATGGGCCAAAGGCATCCCAGATTTATGTGAGGATGGGGCCAAAGGCATCCCTGATTTATGTGAGGACAGGGCAAAGGCATCCCAGATTTATGTGAGGATGGGGCCAAAGGCATCCCAGATTTATGTGAGGATGGGGCCAAAGGCATCCCAGATTTATGTGAGGATGGGGCCAAAGGCATCCCAGATTTATGTGAGGATGGGGCCAAAGGCATCCCAGATTTATGTGAGGACGGGGCCAAAGGTATCCCAGATTTATGTGAGGATGGGGCCAAAGGCATCCCAGATTTATGTGAGGATGGGGCCAAAGGCATCCCAGATTTATGTGAGGACGGGGCCAAAGGCATCCCAAATTTATGTGAGGACGGGGCCAAAGGCATCCCAAATTTATGTGAGGACGGGGCCAAAGGCATCCCAGATTTATGTGAGGATGGGGCCAAAGGCATCCCGTGATTTATGTGAGGATGGGGCAAAGGCAACCCAGATTTATGTGAGGACGGAGCAAAGGTATCCCAGATTTATGTGAGGATGGGGGAGTGCACAGTAATCTTTGATATTAACCAAACATCTCTTATTATTATTTTTCTGTTTACTTGCCCTTTTAAACTTTCTTATACAGAAACACAACGGTATTGTGTCAGGAACAATATAAATGCTCTGATTTGTTATTAAAGACACCCAGATTGCTGTTCAGTGAGAACAGAGTACTATATGACAAAATGAAAGACTGATCAGCTTGACAAAGAGAACCTCTCCTTTGTACAACTTGGCATTCATTCTGGTTTTCAGTGAAAATTGACACAAAGAAAATTATCGAGTATCCAGGATTCACAGTGCCGGTGCCACAGAACATGGTTGACGTAAGAACCATACACTCTTGTCGTGTTATAGTCATGGTTCCAAGTCATTTATTTGATACAGGAGAACTTTCTTGTGTAAACATTTGTAGCAGAGTTTCCAAAATAATATTCCTTATAAATAGTGAATGCACTGACTGATTGCTTTTAATTAGCTATTTGAAGTGAAGGACTTACTCTAGTTACAGAATTTCATAAATAGAATATTTTATGATTTTCAAGCCACCCATATATGTTTCACACACAATCCACCAGTAATGTTTTCACAGACAATCCAGCATGTTTTAATTAATAATCCACCTTTGTGCTCTTGTGAACTAAAAATCCAAACAATCTACCACTGCCTTTCCACCAACAATCCGTCATGGTGTGTTTACCAACAATCCACCATCGTCTGTTCACTAACAATCCATCATGGTTTGTTTACCAACAATCTACGATTGCGTCTTCACCAACAATCCATCATGGTTTGTTACCAGCAATCCACCATTGTCTCTTCACCAACAATCCACCATTGTCTGTTCACTAACAGTCCACTGTTGTCTCTTCACTAACAGTCCACTGTTGTCTCTTCACCAACAATCCAACATGGTTTGTTTACCAACAATCCACCATTGTCTCTTCACCAACAATCCACCATTTTGTCTCTTCACTAAGAGTCCACCATTGTCAGTTCACCAACAATCCACCATTGTCTCTTCACCAACAATTGTCTCTTCACCAACAATCCACTATTGTCTCTTCACCAACAATCCACCATTGTCTCTTCACTAACAGTCCACCATTGTCTCTTCACCAACAATCCAACATGGTTTGTTTACCAACAATCCACCATTGTCTCTTCACCAACAATTGTCTCTTCACCAACAATCCACTATTGTCTCTTCACCAACAATCCACCATTGTCTCTTCACTAATAGTCCACTGTTATCTCTTCACTAAAAGTCCACCATTGTCTCTTCACCAACAATCCAACATGGTTTGTTTACCAACAATCCACCATTTTGTCTCATCACTAAGAGTCCACCATTGTCTCTTCACCAACAATCCACCATTGTCTCTTCACCAACAATTGTCTCTTCACCAACAATCCACTATTGTCTCTTCACCAACAATCCACCATTGTCTCTTCACTAACAGTCCACTATAGTCAGTTCACCAACAATCCACCATTGTCTCTTCACTAACAGTCCACTATAGTCAGTTCACCAACAATCCACCATTTTCTCTACACCAACAGTCCACTATAGTCAGTTCACCAACAATCCACCATTGTCTCTACACCAACAGTCCACTATAGTCAGTTCACCAACAGTCTACCATTGTCTCTACACCAACAGTCCACTATAGTCAGTTCACCAACAATCCACCATTGTCTCTACACTAACAGTCCACTATAGTCAGTTCACCAACAATCCACCATTGTCTCTTCACTAACAGTCCACTATAGTCAGTTCACCAACAATCTACCATTGTCTCTTCACTAACAGTCCACTATAGTCAGTTCACCAACAATCCACCATTGTCTCTTCACTAACAGTCCACTATAGTCAGTTCACCAACAATCCACCATTGTGTCTTCACTAACAGTCCACTATAGTCAGTTCACCAACAATCCACCATTGTCTCTTCACTAACAGTCCACTATAGTCAGTTCACCAACAATCCACCATTGTCTCTTCACTAACAGTCCACTATAGTCAGTTCACCAACAATCCACCATTGTCTCGTCACCAACAATCCACTATAGTCAGTTCACCAACAATCCACCATTGTCTCTACACCAACAGTCCACTATAGTCAGTTCACCAACAATCCACCATTGTCTCTACACCAACAGTCCACTATAGTCAGTTCACCAACAATCCACCATTGTCTCTCTCTTCACTAACAGTCCACTATAGTCAGTTCACCAACAATCCACCATTGTCTCTACACTAACAGTCCACTATAGTCAGTTCACCAACAATCCACCATTGTCTCTTCACTAACAGTCCACTATAGTCAGTTCACCAACAATCCACCATTGTGTCTTCACTAACAGTCCACTATAGTCAGTTCACCAACAATCCACCATTGTCTCTTCACTAACAGTCCACTATAGTCAGTTCACCAACAATCTACCATTGTCTCTTTCACTAACAGTCCACTATAGTCAGTTCACCAACAATCCACCATTGTCTCTTCACCAACAATCCACTATAGTCAGTTCACCAACAATCCACCATTGTCTCTACACCAACAGTCCACTATAGTCAGTTCACCAACAATCCACCATTGTCTCCTACACCAACAGTCCACTATAGTCAGTTCACCAACAATCCACCATTGTCTCTTCACTAACAGTCCACTATAGTCAGTTCACCAACAATCCACCATTGTCTCTACACTAACAGTCCACTATAGTCAGTTCACCAACAATCCACCATTGTCTCAACACCAACAGTCCACTATAGTCAGTTCACCAACAATCCACCATTGTCTCTACACCAACAGTCCACTATAGTCAGTTCACCAACAATCCACCATTGTCTCTACACTAACAGTCCACTATAGTCAGTTCACCAACAATCCACCATTGTCTCTTCACTAACAGTCCACTATAGTCAGTTCACCAACAATCTACCATTGTCTCTTCACTAACAGTCCACTATAGTCAGTTCACCAACAATCCACCATTGTCTCTTCACTAACAGTCCACTATAGTCAGTTCACCAACAATCCACCATTGTGTCTTCACTAACAGTCCACTATAGTCAGTTCACCAACAATCCACCATTGTCTCTTCACTAACAGTCCACTATAGTCAGTTCACCAACAATCCACCATTGTCTCTTCACTAACAGTCCACTATAGTCAGTTCACCAACAATCCACCATTGTCTCGTCACCAACAATCCACTATAGTCAGTTCACCAACAATCCACCATTGTCTCTACACCAACAGTCCACTATAGTCAGTTCACCAACAATCCACCATTGTCTCTACACCAACAGTCCACTATAGTCAGTTCACCAACAATCCACCATTGTCTCTTCACTAACAGTCCACTATAGTCAGTTCACCAACAATCCACCATTGTCTCTACACTAACAGTCCACTATAGTCAGTTCACCAACAATCCACCATTGTCTCAACACCAACAGTCCACTATAGTCAGTTCACCAACAATCCACCATTGTCTCTACACCAACAGTCCACTATAGTCAGTTCACCAACAATCTACCATTGTCTCTTCACTAACAGTCCACTATAGTCAGTTCACCAACAATCTTCCATTGTCTCTACACTAACAGTCCACTATAGTCAGTTCACCAACAATCTACCATTGTCTCGTCACCAACAGTCCACCATTGTCTCTTCACTAACAGTCCACCATTGTCAGTTCACCAAGAATCCCCCATTGTCTTCACTAGCAATCCACCATTGTCTTTATTTGCAATCCACCATTGTCTTCACTAACAAGCTACCATTGTGTGTAATGATCCACTGTTTTCCATTGTGTGTAATGATCCACTGTTTTGCCAGGAATGGGAGAAATTAAACATGCCCCCGCTGCAACCCCATCAGCTGAAGAACACCCTGGAGCAGATTGTGGAGACTACACACACAGTGAGATCCCTATACATAGATATTACCTCGTCCACAATCAAATATTATCTTTATGACATTATCCAGTGTTTACATGTTAATAGGGGGGGGGGTCATTTTGTATATTTCACACTTTTCTTTGTTGCACCTGTAACTTCAGATTATAACCAACAGATCATTGATAATACAATCTATGATATTGAATGTTCAAGCTGAGGTTATAGCAAATAGTCATCTGTGCGTGTTTAACCACTATACGCAGATTATATGTAACAGATATCTGACAATTGACTACTGTAAATGGAATATTGTATCTGTTTACCATGTTTAAGGTCAGATTATAGCAATCATATTGTTGTGTTTCTCATCTACTGCTTATGGTCTGTGTGAACAGGAGAAGAAGCGAAAGTTGGAGGAGGAAGAGGTGGAGAAGGCGAAGAAGTTCAAAATGGACAACCCTGAGGTGGAGATGGACCTTAGCGATGAGGAGGAATCCAGGGATGGTAAGACCCACAGGGGACAAGTGGGGGTGGGTGACAGCTCAGCCTCTACTGGGGAGTTTTAGTCTATCTCCACTGAATTATCAAAGCCAGTGGAGCTTTGTATGGTGCCAACCATGTCTTTAAAATTGCCCACAGGATTCCCAACTGATTTTAAATATGGCTGCCCTGCAAGTCATATTGATTTTTTATCCATTGCTCAGCAATTTCTGCTTGTGTCATTCATTAGGAAATTTGATATGAAGCAAGAATGTGGCATGTGGAATAACAAATCATCCTTTTAGGCAAATCTTATTTTTTTATCAATTTGTTACCTTTGACTTTCCCGTACTCCTGACTTTCTACAGTTGAATTTTTGACGTCTCCTCTGAAGCTAACAAGCCATAGAGTTGAGTGAATGGTGGCAACAATACTGACTGTAAAGAGTGCTATCAAAATTCCAATGTGATGATTTCTTAAGTCAAGAGAGCTACAGAGTCATGTGTACCCTTGAAGGTCCGGGTTAGAATATTGATCTTCAGTAACGCATGCTTGTCGTAAGAGGCGACTAACGGGATCGGGTGGTCAGGCTCCCTGACTTGGTTGACACATGTCATCTATTCCCATTTGCGTAGATTGATGCTCATGCTGTTGATCAATGGATTGTCTGGTCCAGACTAGATTATTTACAGACCGCCGCCATATAGCTGGAATATTGCTGAGTGCGGCGTAAAGCTAAACTCACTCACTCACTCACAGAGTCATGTGTTGAGTCTTGAATTTCATTCATGGTTTGCCGGAACCATGCCCTTCATCGGAGGCTCCCACACTGTGACATAACAATCCAACTGGAGTTAAACCAAACTCACTCACTCACTCACTTAAACCTGATGCATTTATATCTTGAAATATCACTATTTGTATCCGGTGTTTATAGACTGCATCAAGTGAATAATGTTAAGCATTCATATGAATGACTCAGATTTCTTTATAGAGCTAAAACATCAAGTTAGAATTCTGATAATCTCAAATGGGAATTTTGGGCAAATTTCACTGACATTTGCATGGACCATTGACTGAATAACAACCTCTAATAATGCCCAGATCAATCCTTGATCTCAGCTTCATTACCTAACCGTTGCTGTAGCTCATCCCTGGCCCTGTTTAGCAAGATAATCATAGTGCAGCATTGATTGAAACTTACATACTTTAACATAGACTCAAGCTCGTTGTAAGACACATTGCTTGGAACTGGACTCTAGGCTAACAAGTGTTTGTAACCAATAGTACCTGAGGGTAATGTAGATTTCGGGATGTTAGCACATGCTGTAGTCATGGGTGTGTTGTGACATTATCTGCCATGTTACTTCGACACAAACCTTTCATGGATTCAAGTATTTCTATCCTTCCAATCATTTCAGATAGCAACAGGAAAGGTCACTTTAATGGAGACTTTGTTCCTCCCCTACCCCTTGACACGCCCCCAGCCGACTCCCCACCCCCTGACAGTACCCCACCTGTCACCCCCAATCTTCCCATCCAGGCTATCCCACAACTCCGCAGGGATGACCCCTCCCTCCCAGATGACACCCCCTGTACCACCACCCCTGCCTGATGGAACCCCACCCTCAACTCCCAGACATAGCAGGTCCAGCAGCTTGATGCGGGAGAACTCATCACAGGGCAGCACGCCAAGGTCAGGGTCACCTTCTCTAGAAACTTTGGAGGAGCAGTACAAGGCACTGGTGAAGCAGCTCGGGGGTGATGAGGGACCGGCAGCCAATATGGTCATTGTGGATAGCTGTTCAGGCGATGACCCGGAATCCAGTGCTACTGAGATGTCCGAAGTTTGTGCTGAAGATTCTCAAGATGAGAAAGTAACCATCAATAGGACTTTATCACGGACTAATTCTGCCATTTCAATGGAAGGTGTGGACAGTCCGGGATCTGTGAAGTCCCAGGATTCAGAGATTCTTAAAATGAACTCTTCATTTAAAGCGACAGAGTCAATATCTAGGGAATACAGTACCCCAATCGTTCAGCGTCCAAACAGTTTCAGTGCACTTCCAGATGCTACAAAGTTCGGAGTTGGTGTTGAAGATCATATACCTTTTGAAAACCTGCCCGACTCAACAGGCACCTTTGAAAAGATGCGTGGTCTTTTGAAGCTGATTCAGTAGCAAGGTGACCATAGGGAAGAAGAAGAAGAGGTGATTCTCACAATGGAATTTAATCTGTATCTTGTGCTGTAATGTCACAATGTAAGGCCATAGTTTCATATTTTTTCGTTTACTGATTTGACCTTCCATAAGTGACAGTGATCAGTAAACAATAAAATCCAATAGGTGTGGTACTGACGCAAAGTGATCAACTGTATTCCATCATACTAAGGAAGAGAGGCCTAGAAGTCAAGTGATTCAAGTGGTGTCACTTTCATAATGCTTGTTGTACAGATTTTTATATTTTATGCTCATGAGGAGCTTCACCTGTGCTGTCTCTTTGAACTGCTACAAGATTTCCTCGACGGATCATTTCAGTCCATTCTCTTGCTACCACTTATGTGTCCAATATCATTTATGTTGACTTTCAGGAACCGAGGCAGCAAACGTTGAACCTTTTTAATCAGGATTAGTCTCCAAGTCTTAACATTTTATGTGTTCAGTCATCTGATGGTTCTCATGGAATTTGAAACTGATCATGGTGAAAATCTTCACTCCTGTTTAAATGCTGACATTTTAAGAAATTAAGCCGTTATTTGGTTGAATATATTGTATTGCTGGAACTGTAGGAGATTGCATTGACCCAAGCATTGGTAATCCAGTGGTTGGTCAATCCAGGGGCTGTTCAATCCAGTGGTTGGTCAATCCAGGGGCTGGTCAATCCAGTGGTTGGTCAATCCAGTGGTTGGTCAATCCAGTGGTTGGTCAATCCAGGGGCTGGTCAATCCAGTGGTTGGTCAATCCAGGGGCTGGTCAATCCAGTGGTTGGTCAATCCAGGGGCTGGTCAATCCAGTGGTGGGTCAATCCAGGGGCTGGTCAATCCAGTGGTGGGTCAATCCAGGGGCTGGTCAATCCAGTGGTTGGTCAATCCAGGGGCTGTTCAATCCTGCAGTTAGTCATTGCAGTGGTCAATCTTGTATTTGGTCAATGCTGTGGTTAGTAAATTCTGTGGATGGTCAATCCGTTTTCAACCATGTAACAAATGACAAATATTATGCTTAGTTGAACACTACATAAATAAATGAAAGTAGACACTTTATTTTGATGTAAGACTTAAACTTGAGGTTTTAATCTGGTTTTAGTCAATGAAACAATCCTGGCTTATCTCACTGCTGTTATTGAATCTGTGAATCCAAGACGCCAAACATTGATGCAATGTTATACTTGCAGATTAAGATAAGTATGAATGAATTGAGTATTATTTTTAGTAAGAACATTCATTTAGTATCGGCTGTTTACTTACATTATCGAGACGCCTACTAAATGCTTGCACAACGTCATGGATCTTTCAAAACTTCATCGGATCATAGTCATCAATAGATCATTGGTTTCACAGAACATTGGTTTCACAGAACATTTTACATTTAGTAGGACTTGTAAGGAGTTATGGCCTTCTTTTACATGGATAAAGTACATTAACAAACTTGTACATGTAATTTGTTTCATTTCCATCCTTACAGCAGTTGTCTCCCCTGCCACTTGCATCTGGACACTGTTCCACAAAGCTGTAGTAGAGCTCAGACATTTGTAAGTGTATGTTGCTGTTATTGGAGTTACAATCGCCTTTGCACTACAGTCACTGTGTGGAGCAGGCTTTGGTCAACACTAGGTAATAGCTTGTCGTTCAAGAAGATGAATATGTTGGCTGATAATCATGTGTGTCATGGCAGATTTTCTGTCTCTGTATCCAGATAACATGAAAGGACACACTTCACCATGTTCAGCTGAATGACAATGATCAGTAAATAATCGATACCGCACAAACCAGTCATTGGCATCATGAGCATATCTGCGTAATTGGCATACAGTGTACCCGTGAAGGTCAGGGTTAGAATTGATCTTCAGCAACCCATGCTTGTCGTAAGAGGCAACTAACAGGATCTGGTGGTCAGGCTCGCTGACTTGGTTGACACATGTCATCAGTTCCCAATTGCACAGGTCGATGCTCATGCTGTTGATCACTGGATTGTCTGGTCCAGCCTCGATTTTTTTTTTACAGACCGCCGACATATAGCTGGAATATTGCCGAGTGCGGCGTAAAGCTAAACTCACTCACTCACTGGCATACAGTATAATGCATCAACCAGGATGCCAAGTGAACCCTTCCCTCCAATCTTGTTAGTCAAATTCCTATGTCAAGCAGCCTGCTTCATATGTCAAGCAAGGGTTGCACAATCTTCACAGGTTGTCTTTCCATTCAGTGGAATAAGTACTTTCATTTGACTAAATGAGGAAATTTATCTGTTCATAGGTACGATTACAACTATCATGAAACACATAAGAGAACCAGGAAAGGAAATTTTATCAATTTTATTTTTCACGAGAATAAGTAAGTCATTCAGTATTTATGAAATATTTTGTCAACTGTCTTGCAGTCAACTGCCAATGAGAATGCCACCATAGTGACAATACGAAAGACGAACAGTAGGAATATTTACAGTATTCAGTAGGACACTGTGAGAGGTAATGTGAGGACTGAGATATGTCGTTACAAATCTGGTGAATTTAGTCGACATAGAGCTCAGCTAGTCATCCTTCCACTCCACAGTATTCTTCATATATGACCTGTAACCTGAAAAAGAGCAGCCCTTTTTTTGACCTGGTAAGTTCGAAGTGATCTGATCACATTTATATTGAAACAGAGCATTTATACAGAAAATTGGGCGATCCAAGTGGCAAACAAACTAAAGATAATACCTCCACACACTGCATTTGTTAATCCTGAAATGGATAAATTGAGGCAATTTAACTCTGAACCATCCAAGTAAAGAGTGCTTCACTTTTCTTTTTTTCACATAGGTATAGAAAAAAAATGTTGGTTTTAATCCTAATGTGCACCTGAAGAAATAATTGTTGTGAAATACAGGAATGAATGATGAAACCTCTTACTGAGAAAAATATCTTTAACTTTTATTGCTTGAACAGACCAGCGCACAACCAGCTTAAACCCAAAAACATTACTACCAATAACCATGGCAACCAAAACAACCTTTTGGATGATACCAGGAATTCCCAATATGAAAAATTACAAACATCGCATTACACATCAAGTGTAATCATCACCATCATATACTATCATTTAATCATGTTTTAATCATGACAATGGTGGAACTGGTGAGGTACATCAGGTAGTGTATCACAATGGTGCTAGTGATCACCTCCAAGTTGAGATTAAGTTTCAGGGCTGTGCTCTATTGCACACAAGACCATACTCTGAATTCTAACAAGCAAAGGATATCACAAATAACTGTCGGTAAACTGTCATGTTTGTCATGAACACTTTGATTTCAGTAAACGTACAAGTAAAGGATATATGCATGTTTTCATATGTACAGACACACATTTTACACTTTAAATAAAATAAAATAACAAGAAACAATAATATCTGCAAAAATAGTTTATCTCTACACATTTTCTGTCAAAATATTTTTTGTAATTCAATTTAGTGTTCAGTGTCTTACAAATGGTTTCACAAAGTTACTGATGATAATAATGTTACATCTTTTTGAGCTTGTGTTTAAAAATTAAGTCAGACATATTTGAGGCAAGGAGATGATCAAAACTGCACTTTGTTAGCAGATATTGCCATCACTTCATCTCTCATAGTTTATATTTACAACACAATTGGTCAGATCTGTTAGGAATAATTCCGAATACCGGTATCACGTCAAATTAAATCAAACTTTAACAATATTCCTCAAGCCTAACTCCGGCTTGAGTGGTTGATTGTGACTTTCTAATTACAAAATAATCAAAAGATATTCTGAGATGCCCAACCAGCTGTCTGGAAACCAGGGTCATCACTGATTGTATCATATTGTTACATCTAGAAACACAAGTATAGTAAACGTCCAGGACAGATTTCACAAGCGATAGTGGAAAACAGAGAGATGACTGTCTATTAGGCCTTCACACAAATCCCCACTACATTCAGCAAGTAATTCCGTGTTATGTTTACCCACCCCTTCCAGTTTCTGGGCTCCTAAGCCATGACTTCTTGGCTCAAACACAAATATGACTACTCCCTGGGTAAATGATGATATATAAGCTATATCAACCTGTCTGGAGAATACCAGGGTTGATGCCAACAAAGAAATGGTTCACTTCTTTATCAGCACTGTTGCTAACAAAGGCTAAATGTGACATATTCAGTCTTAAAAGCCATGTGGAGAAATAAATAGATCAGTGATATTTTTAAGAATTAAGGAACCTCAAAACAAATGCCAAAGGATGCTTTCAACATATTCCAAAGATTTTTGTTTCCAGCAGGGTAACTTACTACTATCTTAAGGAGTCCATGTTGAAAGTAATTTGAGTTTATACAGATGTTACATTAGCAATCACTGAGCACTACTCACTTATGTTTCCTTGATAGAATTGGTAGTGAGATTTTACTGTGTTCAGCCCTAGAGTCACGTCTAAGTCTTCTACCCCTGTGCAGCTGGGTTTGGTCAACAACATACAATGGCATGATTAACAACCACGACTAACAGCCAAGACCACAACAGGTGTGGTTACCTGTCCGACACCTGACAGAGTCAGCCCCCCAACACCCTACAGGGTCAGCCACACTACAGGGCCGCAGCTCATAGCAAGCAGTGTTTTATAGAGAAAAAACTTACATCATCGGGGAAACATCTTGTCTCGTTAAAATATCAATAGTTTTTTAGTAATAGACTAGTAGACTTGTCCAACCCATGAAATCCCCATTCTGTGAAGACTTGTACTATTGCTTGTATGCACAAAGCGTTTTGGCTACAACAAACAGTGTGTCATTGTAATGAAACAGATCGTATAAATAAACAATTTTATGTCTGGTTCGTAGTTTGGGCATAAAATTGATTAAACAAATAACTAACTTGCTGTGGCCTTGGCTAATTGTCTTTGAATGATTTAACGATTCACATTATGCACCACCAATCACCAAAATAATATAAAGTGCTGCTGTTGTCGTGGCAGCACAAGCTTGTCCTCGATAGGATTGCCAACAGATTCACCAAGCACAGTATTTAAAGTCAAAACATGCTTACACAGCATCCTGTAGGTATATACAGTATAATCTCCCCTTTTCAGCAAGAATATTCTTCTGTTATCTGTATTACAGCAACCTAACAATTTTTTAAAGAGAACTTCATATTTTCGAATAGTTCAAGGCTTGTCGACCATGTTGACTTCACACAGTGATACAAGCTTGAAAGTTAGCTAAATTTTTCGAGGACAATTGTGTTGAAGACAGTCACTCAGAAGAGCCCATCACAGATCAGGATTTGGACAACACTCCCCACACTGACATCCAGCCCTCAACAGTAGTCCGACGACAAGTTATTGCAATGCTCACTACCACCACCACATGTTTACATCCAGTAAGAATGGTCTTCAGCAATTGTGTAATCGATATTCATGTCCATCAGCTGTTGGGGATTCAGGGCTTGGTCCAGAAGAGTCCACTAGTGAACTGGAGGGGTGGGAGGAGGGGGGCTGCCGCCGTAATCCTGCAACAAAGATCAGTAGCATATCAACAATGGGTGAATGCTAGTTTATGCCACAGTTTTCCTGCAATATCATGACTTCCTGAAAAAGGACCAGGTGAGCAAGTTGTTGGAGCAATGATCATGCAATCATCCAGGTGTAACTGCTCAAGCCTTGGTCGGATCTTATGACAAACACAGCATGCTGGAGACCCATTCTATTCATGGGTCACCCCAATAAAGGTTTTGTGGACACAATAGTATACAGAATCAAAACAGACCAGTGCTTGTTTCATCCATTAATGGTAAACGATAGGTTGAGGAGGAACAACCTTTAAAGTCTAATCAAACCACTATGTACAATGCATTGATGATGAGGTTTAGAATGGAGATTAGCATCATATAATTAATTGCAATTAACTCTTACATATCTTTTTCTTGGCTACATAGTTTTTGGCTTTTGGAAATACTTGGTATCTGAATCAGATGCTATGACAATATGTATACATTTGATGTTGGTAACACCTCTAATGTAGTTACCTGGTCACTGAGCTGTGGTATGATGCATCTATATTAAAATGTGATGGTCATAGTGATGTAATTTCTTTGTGAAATCAGAGCCACATTCTTGTCCTCTCTCATATAGTAACTGACCCTGTCTCATCTGGGTTTCTTTTAAAAATATTTCCAGAAAATTATCCAATGAAATCATGACGAAAATATCTCAAAACTTCTGAATTATTTTTAGCAGTTTTGGAGCAGAATGTATCAGAATCAACACTCGAATTTAAGTCTGCTACCTATTCATTTCATAAAGATATGACTACATCACACACCTTACAAACAGAGAGTGGGATAAAACAAGGCTTGTGCTATCAGTGTTAAACTTACATTATTTCTTGCTGGTTTCCCATCACCCTGGTTACGGAGACTCTGTGGACGGAGGAGGTACAGCGCCGTGGCAACCACAAGCCAGCCAACCATCATCATCATCATGGTGCCATAGCCGCCATCGGGGGCAGAATTTGGGCCTGGCACTGAAACAACATTATCCCATTGTCAGGAAGGAAGTAAAGAAGCCTTACGCAGCTCTCAGCAATAACACTATGGATGATTATTGCGTGTCAGAATTATACTGCAAGACATTGTCATACATGTGAGACAATGTTTCAGCGTTTGAAATTCGCGGTAGTCTGTTGAGTAAATTGTGCTGAAGAACCCTTTGACATGTAGGACTAAGGGGACATAACTCTGAGCCAGTTGTCAATGTTTCAATTATGCTACAAAGTAGAGGTGATCTAACTGACAGAAACAAAGCAAATATTTTATCTTGTTCAAAGGGCTAGCTACAAACTGAAAGGAGTGAAATCAGGTTTACCCAAGCCCTCTTGTCTTAGTAAAGTGAAACTAGGATGCTGTTTGTGACTGATGACCAATGTGACTGTTATCCAAAACCCAACATCGTAATACACACACGATTATGACTTTTGGGTCAGAACTACTCTGAACAATCCGAGAAAACATTATTCTCTATTCATTGTTCGAAGCTGTACTCAGTAATATTCTGTTATGGTACATTTGGGATTACACTTTCTCAGTTGACGACAGATTCTAATTCTATTTGAGGGGTTGAGTCCAATCTGTGATTTGAACTCATACTCTTATAGAGTAAGGCACCAAACCACTGCTCACTGATGTTGTACATGACATGCAGGGGTTGGGTTTACTTACTTTGTACATAGATTTTAGGGAGGGTCATTCACATTGTCCATGCTTCACCATGATAATCATCATCACCCCCCTTGCCAAAATTTATGAACGGTCCCTTAAACCACCAAGTTACCCCACAGTGTCTCCAAGATTGTTACTTGTCCTGCTTTAACCAAACCAGAGTGTTTCCCGCCTTTGCTATGTCTGTCACTATATTTACTTCCACTTCAATTTTGTAGACATATTGACCTGCTTAACCAAACCAGAGTGTTTCCCGCCTTTGCTATGTCTATCACTATATTTACTTCCACTTCAATTTTGTAGACATATTGACCTGCTTAACGCACTGACAACTGCTGCAGAATTACAGCCCTTAACTGCCACTAGTCAGTGAGAAGTGCCATTAAAGGATATTTACATGCCCTCAACACAATTCATGAGTGTCGGCTTGCAGACGAGGGTGAATTTCAAAACAGTCAGGTGATCAAATCAGAAGGCAATGAGTACGACTGGTTGTCAGCGGACTAAAGCTCACATCAATATCTTTGTATGTTTTCGGATATCGCAACACTTGATACACTTTGAAGGCCATCACTTTATTAAGCCAAGCCAAAACAATATACTGAACATATTCTCACAAACCTATCCTGTAATAATGAATGTTGTTTTATATAATATTTGGCTATCAATATTTGATGAATATTTTAGAATAGCAATTAAGTATGAGGTTTCGGTAATATCCTGTTGGTCTGAAAATCCATATAATTGTATTTCATGTATTAGCTCATATCATAATGGTAACATCGGACACCTAGCCTTCTTGTATTATTTCCAACACTGTCATTTGTTCAAGAATCCAATATTTCCCTTTTAATTATGCATCCGCACACAAGCTTCCCTACAACAGATACATCATTCATGGACTTCACATCAATAATTCTACCTCATATCTTAGTGTTAATTTGAAATAGTATAGGTTGATCGACCAAATGTCGACCATCGTGGACGTCATATCTTACACGTGCACCCACCTATTTGAACATAACATTACATATACGCAGTACTGCTCACAGCCGAGCTGACCAAATGTCGACCATCGTGGACGTCATATCTTACACGTGCACCCACCTACTTGAACATAACATTATATATACGCAGTACTGCTAACTAACAACCAAAGCTGACCATATCTTACATGTGCACCCCCTAATTGGACATAACCATATCTTGCATGTGCACAACCGAATTGAACATAACATTACATATATCTTACGCAGTACCTGCTCACAACCTATACGCAGTACTACCAAATATCGACCATCATGGACGTCATATCTTACACGTGCACCCACCTACTTGAACATAACATTACATATACGCAGTACTGCTAACAACCGAGCTGACCAAATGTCGACCATCGTGGACGTCATATCTTATACGTGCACCCACCTACTTGAACATAACATTACATATACGCAGTACTGCTCACAACCGAGCTGCAGTGGTGAGTTGTCATCATGGTGAGTGACTATAGTTTAACCCTGCTTCTAGCATTATTCCAGCAGTATCACAGAGGGAACAACAGTGTTACCCAAGTGTGGAATCAAACCCAGGTCTTCGTCATGATGAGCAAACGCTTTTACCGCTAGGCTACGCCACTCCCTTGTCATCATGGTGACAGAGTTGTCAACATGGTCATGGAAGCAAAGAGGCCTTACGCTCCAAGAAAAATATTACTACACCATGTATATTTAACATGCTTTAGGAAAGGAATACATTTTATTGTCTGTTCAAGAGAGCACAATCACGACAGGCCGATTAAAGTTAAAATATATGCTCTTGGTGGTCCTAATACAAGAATCGCAGAAACAAAGTGAGATGCAGCTGACAAAATAGGAATGGTTTAAGAAAGGAAAATGGCCTTCATGAGGGGATACTGAAATCAGGTTGGCTCAGAGGGACAACTGGTGAAACAAGGTCGGCCTTCATGAGGGAATAATGGCAGTTGAAAGAAAGTAGTACTTACAATCCTGGACACAGTTATTGTCTGTGCAGTATGACTGTGAGTTTCGTAGCTGAAAAGAGATGAACAACAAGGTTTAACATCACCATCAACCCATAGGGAGGGAAATAAACACTTTATATTTTTTGTCCGCCAAAAGTCATCAAACCAGTCATAATAATAATAATAGTAATAATGTATTTATAAGGTGCCTTATATCCACCATAGAGATGTTCAGTGGTGCTGTGCTAATATCGGGATTGTCATGAGATTTTGTATATATATATACTCCCCATCAAGAGTTTAGACTCACTAGTGTAAAGGTAGCCACTTACTTCAGTCAACTGTTGTAAACTTGATTTTGCAAAATATTCCATATTGTTTAAAGGTGTTTACACATGAACTGATGTATCATAAAACAAATTCGTAACATTGAAAAGATCATTGTCATGAGTTCAATAAATGATCAAACTGGTGAAAATTGTGGCGAATTCTTAACAAAACTTTACACCAAAACGCAGCTGTTCACATGTATGATATTTGCACATGCTTTTCAGCAATTTGATGCATGATCCTCGTGCAATTCATCTGCAGTTCGCAGTTGGTTCCCCAAATTTGTAGAGAAATTCATCTTCAATGTAACCATACATATACACATAACATGTAGCAGTGTATGAAATAAGGCCCGTCCGACCACCCGAGACGATCTAGATTTCTGATGGACGGTCTAAATCTACAGCTAGCCAGCCCGATGGTCTGGTAATATTTTTTAGATGTTCCATACATCTGAGTAAATTCACCATATTTGGTCTGGTTAAATCCATTTTGGGCTGATAACATTTTGAAGTTACCAGCCCAGATGTCTGGCTGGATTTTTGGCTTATTTCATACACTGCATGTAGTGAGAGCTTTAAGTGAGTCTAAACTTTTGATGTGTAGTATAGATGCAGGATAAGGCGTGACAGAGCAGGGAAGGGTCAGACACGAAGCAGTGGCATGAAACCGTGTTTTTCAGGTATTAAACTGTTTCCACTTATCACATTGTATGGGGATAGGACCCTTAGAAACATCTTAAACAACAAGTGTTAGTATGGAATAAACATGTACGTATATATCATACACCTGTGCATTGTTTTACCTGAAGTGTGTGTCCATTATGCACTAATGTATAAAGTGGGCACAGAAACGAATAAACATTGCATTCCTCAGGACTCTCTACAACAGTCATTGTACCAGCTTCATGAAAGAAACATAAAGTTCCTGCAATTAAAGGAATGTTTCAATCTTACAGCCCAGCACACTACACAACGTATTTACTTTACATATTTCCTTTTCTAAACTCTGGTCCCCTAAATTACTCTTGGGGTCCTCTGGTCCCCTATTTTTGTTGGTCAAGGTAAGCCACTGCATATGATACACGTATGTATGCAAATATTAAATTAAAAAGAAAAGAAGCATTCCTTGAGCAGCAAATTACCACATCACACTCAATCACTCCACAAAGACTTGTCATTACTACCCTAAATCAAGTCAGTAATATTGATTTCCAATTATATATATTTCAATGTCTTAAACTTTTCTTGCTCTATGTATGCAGCAGACTTATCCATAAAACCGTACATTATTCAAATATGAACAAAACAACAATGATATTAATAACAGCTGTTAGTTTCTTGGAATACAGGATGTGGAAAACACTAAATCGTCCCACCACCCTCCTAACTTTCGCAACAATGTCACAATACACATCTTTCCTTTATATGGCTTAAGGATGATGTCTATTCCGATATTACGCTACTGGCACAACAGTTGAACTCACTCACTCATTCTGAATTTCTGAATCATTACGATAGTTTCATAAGTTCACAAACTACTTAGTTCTATTTGAAACAGAATTAATCAGCAATCTGGTTTCATCAAGTTACACATGTTGGTATATTCGCCTTTGTTTTTGAGAATCACTAAAAGCAGAATTCAAATCAAACAGTTATCATATATTCACTATCAACTAGTGTGAGAAATACTTCTAAACCTTATCAAGACATACATCACTGTTAACGTATTTATTGATCACCAACGGACATATGAGAGCTGTTAACTGCTGTCTCCCAACACGGCTGCAACAGATGGCAGACAACTCACCTTCGCTTCCCCGGCTGATGTAAACATCAAAGTCAAACCCTGACACATGATGGTACACACAGTGAAACACATGACACGTGCATTTACACGTTGGCAGGATGTCGGCATGTGTTCATGTTTCTTGCTCTAGCACTTGCATCTAAGGACAACTAAACTTTTGATTTCGAAAGGCTCTGGACATCTGCGGATTCTGCCTCATCGCAATGATTTTTCGAGATTTGTTGTCAGTTCGTCATCATAAATTATTTGAAAGTGAGTGAGCGAGTTTAGTTTTACATCGATTGGAGCAATTTTCCAACAATATCACAGCAGGGGACGCCAGAAATGGGCTTCACATTTTGTACCCATGTGAGGATTCGAACCTGGTTCATCAGTGTGAGGAGCGAACACTTTAACCACCAGGCTACCCAACCACACAAATATATGAAGAACTGAAAACCTACATGTTTAACATGCTGACAGATCAGGGTATTTTATATGCAGTATGCAGTTCTGTAGCTCACATGAAAGTTCTGAAGTGACAGTGCTAAGAAACATGATACAGCCACCATGATTGTCTACAAAACATTACCACAGGAAGAGTTGGCTAACTGTTTTCAACATTACCACAGCGGCAAAATCTTAAAGAAACCAGCTATTGGAACTAGAAAAACAACATATTATATTCCATAGGTGTTATGATTACATCCTTTTGCACAGAAACAACTGAAAAACATTTCTGCTCAATCCACTGGAAAGTTATTCTCAAGAAGTAGGAAAAGTGGAAGTGCTCAAGAAAACATTCCTCGATATAATGTGAGTGCAATTCTTCAGAGACTTACCAAGTTTATGAGTCTTTGCATAGCATTCTCATGGTTCCATATACACTCGCACGGATAACAACTTCTTGATGCCTTTATGGTCAAAACCTCCTCTTGTTAATTGCCATCTTGTCTGGAATATACAACATTTGTATTCATAAAGCATAACAACTTCTTGTTAATTGCCTTTACGGATAACAACTTCTTGTTAATTGCATAGAGCAACATTTCAGTGTAGATTCTTCAACAGTTTCCAAGCTAAAACTTGTACAATGTAATTAACATTTGTAGTCCTAATTATCAGGCCTGTATGTTGTGTTGATACCAGACAGGGCACCTGTTCTCCTGCAATACACTGCTGAATGTACCATGCAATGACCATACACAAAAGATGGGAACAAAAAGCAGTTGCCTTTATCTGAGACCAATATCTAAGACCATGAAGAAGACTCAGACCAGTTTCCTATATACTAACATTTTTTTTAAATATTTCATCTGTCTGCAGCAAGTAACCATGTGAAATTTACCACTGACAGTTTTAAAGGTTACCTATAAATCTGATGTTTATTCATAGGCTGGAAGAAATATTTCCATTATGGAAATGTTAAAATAACATAATTAATGATTCATATCCATTCCTAACGATCAAAAGGGGTGAATCATGCTTGTAACAGACAAAACCAACCTTGTGAAAAATGTTATTAATGCAAACAAGTGTGCCAATATTGTTTGTGTTCGATTATGAGAAAACATGATCGATTGCTTGGTCGTTTAGTCATTGCGACCAATCTTCGATTATTTCAATTAATCGGACCACCACTAGTGTGAGTGTGTGTGTGTGTGTGTGCATACCTGCTCATGTGCCACATATATATGTATAGTCCTACTCACTAAGGTATTGCATATATACATCGCAGATACATCATGGTTACTCTGGCTCTTACTCCGTGCCGGTCCTGGTTTTATTCCCAACACCAGGTGTCAGGCAGGGTAACCACACGTACCATCTGACAACATCTTTTGCTAAAACCAGCCAGTCTATGCTCAACATGCATTTATCATGCTTACTGGTCCCTTGCAGGCGCGTAGCAAGCCAATTCTTTCTTGTAAGCCCGATAGGATCCAAAGCTTTATATCAGATAGTACTGAGTGAGTTGAGTCTTACGCCGCACTCAGCAATACTCCAGCTATATGGCGGCCGTCTGTAAATAATCGAGTCTGGACCAGACAATCCAGTAATCAACAGCATGAGCATCGATCTGCGTAATTGGGAATAGATGACATGTGTCAACCAAGTCAGCGAGTCTGACCACCCGATCCCGTTAGTCGCCTCTTACGACAAGCATGGGTTACTGAAGATTATATTCTAACCCGGACATTCACGGGTAGATAGTACTGGGGGCTTGCCCAACCTTTTTAGCAACAATCATGTGTAAGCCTGGGCTTTTTTTTCATAATGGTAGCTACGCCCCTGCCTTTGCTCCCTCCACAACCTGAGGTTGTTCAGGATTTTACACTGTATATCTTTACTATCATTACCCTTTGCTACACACCCCACAGCCATCCTTTCATCTAATTCACAATGCAAATGAAGTGCCTGCTAAAAAGCACAACTATGCTAGCCTAATTACTGTTACAGTTTTTGCTTGGCACATAAAAAACAACCCAACAAGAGGCAGATCCATGATCGTCGGACCCACCCAACACCTCTCTGGTTCCACCTGTGAAACAACATTACTGGATTTGTTGCAAGAAAGGTGAATTCATATTCAAAATGGACATGCCTGCATTCGAATTATGTATCTGAAATGCGAATATTGTCATCCTGTAGACGGCGACATCATAGATAGGAATTTAACATCCTCATTAAATGATTGGATAGTCCAAGTTCCATAGTGGTTCAGACTTTCATCAAGATTACTACCACCATCTCATTCGAGTAAACGTGTTGTTACCATCGCATCAAGGCAATCGTTGTGACACGCCAGTCCGTGAGCTAATTTGACCGTGAAATTATATCTCCCGTTCAGATCAACCCGACGACTTTGGTGTATAAATGTCATAACAGCCCGGAAGCGAGCCGTGACTTCGACAAGGCAGACGACATTCCATATACAGCCCAACAAATATTCGTTAAATAATGTTCACTTTAAATCTACTTATATTCGCAGCTAAATATACTCCATGTCAGCTGTATGTAAACCGAGTCGTTATTACACTTTGATAACCTGTTTAGCCACACGAACCCGCACAGCTGCAAGAAGCAGTCATGGGCATACATGTGACCCACATTCGCACCCTCCTTCCAAACGACTCTCAGACGACACGGTAATAACGTTCTTAGTTTGAGAGTCGCAACACTGACAATGTTTACCTGTTGTGTGACGAAACTGTCCGTTTGACAAAAGTGTGTAAGTATCCCCGCCCGATGTCCTGAGTCAAATGTTATGATGCTGGCCAACCAAATCGATTCCCGTCCCACTATCAACAAAGCCACGTCAGTCCTAAGCGAAGTGCCCGGATGTGAGTGGTATATCAACTTCTAACAGTACGTAACACGCGGAGCTTCCGTGTTGGGGTCACTCTGTTCCGTTTCATTTAATTGACAGGTTCGTTGCATCATTTATACCAGCTGTAAGTGTTGATAGCATATTTGTAGGTTGTCCATTTTGTATGTGCCGTTATTCAATAAAAAGAAAGACAAGCTTAATTCATTTTTCAACGTCTGTGGAAAGTAACGGTACAAAAGTTAGTGTTTTGTAAATTATCAAAACCAGAGACCATATGGTCTCTGACAAAAGCTTCCGAAGTGCATGCACTATGTGCATTTGGTATACCACAGTCATTATCACTCGACTGATATCTAACCCAGGGGTCCGCTCTCACAAAGCAGTTATAATTGTGTATTTTTGTTTTGTCCAGTGGCATAGTAAAATATATTTATTCAAATGAAGCTAATAATGCATCATACTGTCTTTTAAGTTCTCAGCAACTGTGTGTAGGTCTCATATACATTGTACTGTTAATGGAATTTTATTTCATATATTCATTTATTTTATTCTGTTTATGTCATACGCCGTGGTTATACCTGTAATCGAATTGTTAATGTTTCTTTCTGAATGTGCTGCGCATATTACTGTGAAATATTATAGTGACAAGTTATACCACAGAGAAATATTATAGTGACAAGTTATACCACAGAGAAATTATATTATGATAAATGATCTTACCAATCGTATCATCCGCTCGATGATGTAAAGATAAACACTAGCTAACTCACAGTGTTTAAATGTAATCAGACTGTCTCAATGCATCCCTTTCTAATAACTGTATAATTATAAATATTTAACAAATAGCCACTTGAACTGATATATTTTTCTTTAAATATGGGGGATACTTTATTATTATGAAATGAATACAGTGTTTGGAAACATACTACAGTAATGTTCTAACGCGACGCAGAAAGTCTGCAAACTTGCTGGTGCGTTGCTAAAAATCTTCCATGAATAATATATCCTTCCAGTGATCTCGTCACAGGTAATAGAATCTGGGTGCTCCATGCTCCAGCATTCACTGGAGCCGACGGAGCGTAGTCACGAAGCTGTTAATTGCCATTAAACTAAAGAGATTAACTAAACCCGGTACGCGTAGAATAAATAATGTCAATGTCGCTGGATGTAAACAAGAAAATCACCACAGATAATGATTTCTGAAGGAATCTTAGATATAAAGGATGTTTGTAAATCAAGCTTACTATTGCTGCTACTTAGTTTCTTATTTAGTAGAATAACCTTTAAGAAAGTCTCCAAAGCTTTAAACAATCCCTCATATCGCTATATTTCTTTGGTGTGAGACCCATACCACAAACTGTACAATTCCTGTACAAGACGCTGGGCGTCAACCAGAGGCTAGGTACAGAATGTAAACCACACGTTGCAAGTGGAAAGTAATAAATGCATAATTGGAACCGAAAAACTTAACGGGGGATAAAATGCGGTATATGACAGTTATCGTTGAAGATCTTATGTTATATTGAATTTCATAAATATGTATACAAATTTCAATATAAAAGTAACATGAAATACAACAAAAAATATGTTTTCTGTATAATTTGCATCATCCGCAAGTCAGAGTAAATGGTGATCTCTAAAGCAGAGAGTCCACCAGTGAGATGGGAGATTCAGAGGAACCAGAATGAATCTAGACTTGCTTCGTTAAGACTTTAACATTACTGAAAGGATTGGGCTTAGGGAAAATAAATCGATCCAGAGGCTGTGAGACAGGCTGATGTCTAGAAAACTATGCGAATTGTGAAAGATGCCCTTGTCAGCCGTCGCCCATTTTTGTTAAATACCAGTCTGGCAATATTACAACAAAATGTCCACTCGTATGATTTCATATTACATTAAACACAATCAGAATAATAACAAAATGTTTCTTTGTTTGAAGTCGACAATTCGGATCACAAATGCATATCTGACAAGTAATAGGAGGGTCCACTAAAAGACATTTTCATTTTCCTGTGCTCCAATGTAAATACGTATGTCCTGACAGTTGATGGAAACTATGATAAACGTTACCACTGAAACAGAATCAGGCATGTGCATCTAATGCTTCCACACGATTGTAAACAATAGACAAATAGATACATACAGCTGTATAGGGTAGACAGCGATCCTTCAGTTCTTGGGTATATCACAGGCTCCTGATTTCAAATCATAACAAGTATTATGTTCAGAGTTATTACTTTCGTACTTTAGTTATATCACCTGATCGGAAGAAGATCGTGGTCGCCACTGATTGGTGTACGGCCATTTTGAAATAGGACACACGTATGTGACATTTACTGTAAACATGGCGGGAGTGAATTATACACAGAAACAAAACTCTCAGTGATTTCTATGTTTAATTATAAATCAGAAAGATTTGTGAGGTTTTTCATTTTGAAAATTAGAGGATGTTGACTTTTGAAACGAATATTATAACAAACAGTATCTGACACCATCGTATTTCTAGTACTAGATATACATGTCTATGCATCGTGTATATCCATAAACGTATCCTTAATGACCTTACTTCGCCATATCAAACTTAACAGTCATGCTG